CCCTCTAGCTGAAGCACTGCAGTTCTTCACTTTTGCTGTTGGTTACTAGTTAAATTCTAATGTCGCTCTTGTTGCTGGGGAGGGCAAGAGGAAGAGGTTGGATGATCGCTCGTCTTTTGCTGTCTGTCTGGTAAAATCTGTGCAAGAATGAACTGGAGTAGCTGCCTCATGGGTTCTGCTGCTCAGTGCATCCAGGCAAAGACAAAAATGTGCAGAATGGTGTGTTGTACATTAAAAAATCAAGGAAGCATCTACAGCTACGTTCTGTGAACATGTGTATATGTCTGTATCTTGTGAACCTGCAGTTTTCCTCATTCTTAGGCCATTTTGGAGGGGGTTTATCATCTTCCTATAATACATAATTTCCATGATAAGTATCTGTTATACATGTGTCGTGGTTTAACCCTAACCAGCAACTAAGCACCACACAGCTGTTTGCTCACCCCCGCAGTGAGATGAGGGAGAGAACTGGAAGAATAAAGTGAGGAAACTCGTGGGTTGAGATAAAGACAGTTGAATAGGTAAAGCAGAAGCTGCGTGCAGAAGCAGAGCAATCCAAGGAATTCATTCATTCACGTCCCATCGGCTGGCAGGTGTTCAGCCATCTCCAGGAAAGCAGAGCTCCACCACATGTAGCAGTTACTTGGGAAGGCAAACACCATCACTCCAAACGTTCCCCCTTCCTCTTTCTTCCCCCAGCTTCATATGCTGAGCATGACACCATATGGTATGGAATATCCCTTGGGACGATTGGGGTCAGGTGTGCCACTGTGTCCCCTTCTGATTTACTGTGCACCCCCAGCAAGGGCAATATGTTTTGTTAGACAAAGTGATACAGCTGGAAAAACCAAACCAGCTCTTGAGCACACATTCTTCTCCACATCTGTAATAGTCTCAGACATTCGTGGCTATAATAACACTACTTAGTATTGTTTATATAAATCAGCAGCTTTGAGTAACAAACAGAATCCCCTGTAGAGGTGGGCTATGGCATCATATACACATCCGTGTCTGGTCTCAGAGATGATGAGGGATATTTGGGACAGGAATCTTTATTATAATAGAGGGACTGATCACCTAGCTTGTACTCTTAATGGTGTATCTTTGCTTGTACGAGCTTTATTAGTTCTTCAGTCATGAGATATCTGAGTTTTATTTCCACAAGAAAAGTTTTGGGGGATTCTTTTAGCTCTTTGCTTGGTGTAAACCACCACTGCACGTCAGCTGCTCACTCTTAATGTGTGTTAGGTGTTGCCTAATGAACATAATTGTAATTCTTTCAGCTTGACTGAAATCACAGTGTACTTGCAGGCTTGTCTGTCCTTCAGCTTGCTTCTAAAGGGAATTTGCAGTGTCTTAAGCTTGAGCAGCCTGTTTCAGTATTTTAAACTAGTGTTTTCTGAGCCTTTTGGACATGTTTAGCTACATAGAGTGAAAGTGGTTTTAATCAGTTCAACCCATAGGTGTGAAAAAATTATCAGCATTGGTGGCTATTCCAAAACTGAAAGTAAGCAAGAAAATTCAAAGCTTTTAGATGTCTTTCAGTGTATTGCATCCATAACAGTGCTTAAATAGAACAAAAATGCTCAAGTCCAGTTTTTTTTTTTTCTTTCTTACTGTTTTGCAAGTCAACTTTAATAAGTAAGTAGGGAAAAGTGGAGGAGGGGAGGAGGCGACCCAGACTGAATGCCGGCTTTTCTCCAAGGTCTCATATTGCAGAGCACTTAGATCAGTAAAGTGAGGGCTAGCAGGGCTTTTGTGTTATTGGACATTGCCAGTCTAATTTCTCTGGAAATGTACTTCCCAAGCAGTCCCAGCTGTCCCAGGAATGCAGTTTAACCATTGTTGTTCATAGTTCTCAATTGGAAAGAATTAAAAAATGTCATTCTGACTCAAGATTTATGCACTGAGATTGTCACGGGTGAATACGAGGAGTTAGGTGAAGCTTGTATCTGCTTGGGTTGGACCCTCCCTCCTTTCCAAGCAGAATGACACAGTTCTTTATTCTGTGCTTTTTTTTCTTTTTCGGAAAAAAAAGGCAAAAAAATGACTATTGTAATAACATTTGCCTCACAGATGATATTTTTTTTTTGCTGGTTGCTGCAGAGAGCAGCTGACAGTAAAGCTCAGGGATGTGGAACTCTAGGGAAGATGAAGCTTAGAGAATAGATGCTATATCTGGTCTTCTATTAATGTCTCAGAAGGATAAAATTTCTGACTGTTTCTCTAATTACAATAGAGAGATTTCAGTCTGTGTTTGAACCTAATTTTGAGGGTTCCTAACAGTAGGTTTCTTTCACTGCCATCATTTGTCAATGCGTTAATGCACTGATGGTGCCAGACTTCAGATCCTGATTAGAACTGATGCACAGTACAGACTTGCAGAACTAATAACTTCTGAATCCATACCACATGCTTGGATACCTAGATGGAAGAAAAAAAGACTATTTTTCAGGCAGTGCTGTCCTAGAGTAACGCTTTCGGAATCTTCTAGTTAGTTGCTTTTGGGGATTAACGCTCCCCTCCAAGCAGAAGAATTAATGTGCCTCTCAGCACCTCTTACCTACTATGGTTGATTGCTTAGAGTGTGCCAAAAAGTTCTCGGCTTACATAAAAAATGTGAAGGTTTTTATTTCTGTAAATTGCAATAACTCCCTTGCCGTGAAATATGTCAGCAGTCTTAATTATATAGACTAATGATCAAATTATGGAAGTTGTGGCATGCAGAAGGCTTTCACCCTAGGACAACAATATATGTCCAAACGATTAGGTCTAGGCTGGATGGGTTAATACAGATGTTGTTTTGGGGGGAAGAATTGTCATGTCCAAGGTGCTGCTGCAGTGTTTCTCCTAGCTGCCCCAGGGCTACCAGTGATGCACAGCATGGGATGCCAATGGGGAGTTTCTCTCTGCTCCTCCCCAAGGCAGCTGCAGTCCCAAAGGGGCCATTAAAGAGACCAAGAGCAAAGTTCTTTATGTGTGGAGGCTAAGAACCACACAGCCACTCTCTTGCCCTCTCCCAGTGGGATGGCAGAGAGAATTGGAAGGGTAAAAGTAAGAAAACTCATGGGTTGAGATAAAGGCAGTTTAATAGGTAATGAAAGAGCTGCATGCACAAGTAAAGCAGAAGAACCAATTCATTCACCACTTTGCATCAGCAGGCAGGTGTCCAGCCATCTCCGGGAAAGAAGGGCTTCGTCACACATAACATTTATTTAGGAGGAGAAATGCTGTAACTCTGAAAGCCTCCACTTCCTCCTTCTTCCCCCAGCTTTTATTGCTGAGCACAATGTCATGTGGTCTGGGATATCCCTTGGGTCAGTTGGGGTCAGCTGTCCTGGCTGTGTCCCCTCCTGGCTTATTGTGCACCCTCAAACTACTTGCTGTCAAGGCAGTGTGAGGAGCAGGGAAAAAAAATGCCTTGATGTTATGCAAGCACTGCTTAGCAATAGCTAAAACATCCCTGTGTTATCAACACTGTTTTGGTCACAAATCCAAAACATTGCCCTGATACAAACTACTGTGAAGAAAACTCACTCCATCCCATCCAAAACCAGTACACTTAGGAAAAGATGGTTCATTGCAGAAACAGCTTATCCCAGTTTTTGTGCCATATTTAGGTATCCATTCATTAAAATGTAATTTTTGTAGCTGAGAGTATTTTGTACAAACCCAGTGGGAGCAGAAAATAACACAACCCAAAAATAAGCTTTAGTTTAGTTGTTGGCAATGGCAACTCCAGCAGCTCAGAACCAAACAAAACACACAGTTGTGCTGTTTTGCAGAGCTTGAAGCCAGACGTGTTTTCTAAGGAAGTGTCAGCCAAATAGCCACTACCTTGTGTTGCTGGTCTGCAGCCCAGCTCTCTTTGTCGTTTGTCTTATTTAGCTACAGGAAAATAACTGAAGCGATGAGTCCCCATTCTCCAGTTCTATTGACTTTCTATTTTTAACCTTTCTTCAGCAAAAAAGTCTTCTTATGAATAAGTAGAAGGCTTCTAGGGCACCTGTGCCCCCAGGGGATAGACAGAAGACTTAACTAGAAGAAGAAACTAGTGTCAAGCATAAGGGAAAGTATACATTAGTTGTCAGTAATGTGTACATTTAAAAGTAAATTATTAGATTGCTACAGTCAGGTCATGTGTCCTGATGCAGCACAGGGAAACCCATACACTATTGCATGACACACGTAAAAGGAATTCTGTGCAAGAGTTACATTTAAATTGCAACCTTGTATTGTTGTTCGGCTTGTGACTCCTCACCCCTCTCTCACTGAATTACATGTTCTATCTTACCCTTGTGCAAACAAGGCAGATTAGGAGGGAGCATCATGGGAAGTAAACAAGAGATGAAAAGCAACATTCTGAAGAGGAGCATACAGGGAATCAGGACACGTTTGCTCTTTTCTCTCCTTTGCCGGGAAGCTGCTAGGCAAATTTAAGCATCTCAGTATCTGGGCTTTTCTCTTTGTTTATAACTAAACCAGGATACTGCAAAGCTTTGTGTACAATACGATAGAGGTCTGCAGAGCATTATGAAGTTTTAATCCTAATATTTTATTGTAATAATAACCTAAAAATATTACCAGGGTGCAGATTGCTTTGTAAATGCTCTTTCTGCTCCTGCTTGGAAAAGCTGTGAGCTTATACCTTGTGTTTTAAGACTTCAGTAAGGCACTTAAGCACACATTTGAAATTAAGCATGTCCTTTTCTGAATACATAAGGCTATTAATTAGGGCTAGGAGCAAGACTGATTGTCTGAAGTATGAATAGAATGTGCTAGGGAGGGGGGACCCTACTTTTCAAGCACATATGTATCCTATTGGTAAAAATTAATAAATAAAAAACCTCCAGTTAGTCATGCACTAGTGTGACCTTACATTTCTTGAGTTCCCCTCTTCCCTTCCTGTGTATAACACTAAAGTAGGTGATGATCACTATAGTTAGTGCAGTCAGTGAATATAATGATGCTAATGAGCCATTTCTTTTTAATGGTCAGGTTCTCCAGCCCTGCCCAGCAACATGGTATATTTTGGAAGCTCTCAGGATGATGAGGATGAAGAAGAGGAGGAGGAGGAGACAGAGGACACAAAAACAGCCACAAACAATGCTTCGTCATCATGCCAGTCAACCCCCAGGAAAGGAAAAACGCATAAACATGTACCAAATGGGCAAGGTAGGTCCTAAATAGTGCTGTTCTGCATTGCCTAGGAAAGAAATTTATGAACTGAATGTGCTTAATCATCGTTCATCCTCCTGGATCTGAGTGAAAAAGGATACAGACCATAATGGGAAAGTAGAGTGAGATGTGGTGTTAGCATCTTTTGCTTTAACCTGCCTTTCCTGACAATCTGAACTCTATCTGTAGCAGGACTATAACTACAGGGCTGGAATTGTCTATCTATCTGTCTACACATGCACACATATACTGGATTTATGTACACACATACACACACATAGACACACAGTCATGCTTTTTTTTTTTTTTTGATTTTGGCTGATACTTTATCTAGAATAATTTTATGTTATCAAAGTTAAATGTAAGCATTCGTAAGCGTTACCAAAATGTGTGACAGGAGCAACATTTAATTTCTCACGTGTGATATTGATACCACAACTGCAGCAGGTTAAGATACTAAATTTGAGTTGTTGATTGAAAGGCTTTATGGAAGAAGCTTTTTTAAGTCAGTTATTTATTTGCAAATCAACAAAAGCTGCATTCATTACAGAGTATTTGTGTCATGATGTTGCAACATCGCCCAGTTTAAAATGGAAGACCTAAAAGCTGTGCTAAAAATTTTGTGAGCCTACTATAATGCTCCACTGCCAAAGTCCTGTGTGATGTGGTTCTCCCTCCAGCAAGAGCTTTTGTATCATAAGAACTCTGTGCCCTCTCTGCCTGACATAATTTCAAAATGGAGCCTGTGCTCTCTGTTCCCTTCCTCAGTATTAGTTTACCATGAAAATCTTTCCTTTTGGTGACTGTCCATTCAGCTCTCCTCCTTTTAGTAGGAGGACTGAGAGGAACATCTCTATCGTACCCTTTTTGAGATATGGCAGTGACTTGTGCCTGCTTTTTTTTTTTTGTTGTTGTTGTTGTTTTTATGTGCTACTCTACTCTGAAGAAGAGATTAGTAGATCCCAATTGCTACACTCTACTGATCCTCATCTCTGCTTTTCAAAAAGGAGTTTTCTAGAAAGGACCTCATTGTTACATACTCCAAAATTATTTTTCATGACTATGTCTGAATCTAGTTTTCATTGCACACCCAAAACTCAGAAGCACTCTTTTTGTGAACAATTTGTGGAGAAGTGCAAGATGACATTAGGCCTAATAGCATTTCAACTGTCAGCTGCGAGCAGGAGCTTTAATGCTCTAAAAGCCATGGATCAAAACATAGCACTTTGGATTGATTTCTAAGTAAACCCCCCAAAATAACAGGCACAAAGCTCTACATATGGAAAATGAGACTGCATGTAACCGAACTGCTGCCTTAGAGTTTTAAATGTGATATATCATTACAAAAGGAGCTGATCGTATTCCTTGAGAATGTCCCAGATGGCAGCCACTTTGAAATTAGCTCAAAACCAGAGACACCTGAAATCTTAATTGGGGGTAAGTAAAGGCAAACTTAATGAGCCATCTAATGGCTTCATAATCTTTATCAATATAGATGAGAGTGAGCATAAATGAAGCTGCTGCTTCAACAGATCTGCAAAAGACCTTTATAAAATACATAGGAGACAATGTGAGATGTTTTGACAAAGGTGATGAAACAAGAATTCCCAGAGAAGGCAGCTGCTACTTCTTCATCGTTGTGATTTCTTTTTTTCTTCCTTTTTTTTTTTTTTTTAATTAAAGTTTCCTTACCCAGGGGTATTCCTATTTTCGGTGTCTGTTATTTTGGTTGACAGCCAATAGTATTTTTGTTTCATGTGAATAAAGTAGGTTCTGGTTCATGTGTGTCTGTTTTAAATGAGACCACACACAAAGGCAGACCAGGGACGGGTGCAGCAAATGAACTTAATCTAGCGTGAGAGTCTATTTTTAATGAATTAAAGTCTTTTGTTTTTAATATACAATGTGTAGTCAAGCACTTTGGACCTGAAAATGCTAAGCATTTGCTATGACATACAACAACAAAAGTTCAGAGCTTGATTAATGTCATTAGATAGTGTCAAATGATTGCTTTATACTAAGTGGGAGCCAGACAACTTTCCTGGACGAAGTCATTTGTCAGTATCCTCTTCTGATGCCAATATAGAGCATTATCAGGGTTGCACACCAAACTATTTGTTATAATCTAGCCTGTTGAGCCACCTTTTGAGTTGCTAACTCAATTGAAAATGCCTAAGTATGAATAAGAAGCATGTAAAACACGTGGCATAGTTTGCTGCACAAATTGATGTAATTAATTCAACTGACTAGTCACCTTCCAATGTTACTACTTACACAGGTATATTTCAAGTATCAGTTTGTTACCTGTGCCTTTTCATCATCCTTTTCTTAGTACTTTTGATGTGCTGCACATATATCCAACTGTTAAAGAGCGAAGTAAAATGTTTGGCAGGAGAAGTGTTTATCCCCCCACGTTCATGGGAGTGTGGAAAAGGGACATGTAGCAATGTGCAAGTCTTTCCAGGGACGTACTGAGTCTAAATTACATCTCCCCGCTGCTTGGAGGAAATTCCAAGTTGTAAGTAAGAGGGCAGGCTTAGGTCTCTGTGCCTTTAAAACCAATTCTTTGAATTCCTCACAACTAAATAAATCTTATTTTGATTTTGTGCTGTGGCACAATGGGAGGTTTTCTCTGCAGGCTCCTGAAGGAAAATGTTTGCAGGTGCCAAGTGTTTTGTTAGGCAGGCTCGTATTATGTAGCTAAGGAGTTGTTGGGTTATCAGTCCCATCACAAGAGCAAAAGGGGATAGGCATTACTCTGCTTGAAAGGACTTGTGGACTGGAAAAGAGCCTCAGGAGGAGCCATGTATTCAGATACAGTTGCGTAGACAACTTTGAAATTGCATGCACCAGACTGCAGTTCCTGTAATGATGGTTGACTAATTTCCTCAAGAAGGATAATTGCAGTATTAGGTATTTCTCACACCAGCCCAGCAGTCTGAAGGTAGAGAGAAGTGCGCACCTGGGCCAGCATACCTGGAAATGTCATGTTTGCCTTCAGACACCCGAGACAGACAATTAATTCTAATTTACGTTTAGGAAAACAAAGTTAGCCATCATTATTTGTAACTAGGCTTCTTCATGAACTAGAGTCTTGTTTCCATAGCTGCAGAAAACCATCTCTGGTGTGTCAGAAAACCTACTAGTTACTGGTAACCTACAGTAACCTATGGTTACTGGTCCATGCTGTGTTCTGTTGACGTGATCAGATAAAACTGCTCTGCATGTCTTTTGCCTGAAATGAACAGGGAAGAAAATTGTACAGATGCCTTTTTATCTTTGGCTCACATTTCAAAACAGACCTGGCAGCAGTGTGTAGTAAGCAGGCATCGCTAGAAATACTATACTCTGCTGTAGTGCTGTCTTCCTCACTTACCAGAAATACAGAAGAGTGTTTTGGCTCTCAATTTGCAATGGATAATTTAGCAGAGTAATTTCCTTACATGTGTAGTAACAAAGATGATGCAGGAAAAGTTCATGGATGTTTTTTTTTTTTCTTCCTTATTTCAGGATGTAGTTCAATGCAGTGTTTGTATATCTTGGGCTTAAATGGCACATCTTTTACATACATTACTGTTTGAGTGTGTTGTGAGAAAATTCTGATTTGTGGTTGCAATTCTTTATGTAGTTCTGGTTTTAACTAAATTTGATACTTGTGGGTGGATACGTAAGACAGAGTCTCAGGCTCATGCATCTTTTTTAGTGAAATTAATCCTGAAGAGGTAAATGTTTAGAAGAAAAATATTTTTTTGCATCCAGCTAAAATGCAGAATGAGAAAATTTCAGGCAGAGTGCTACAATAGTTAATGGGTAGGCAATTATTTTGATGATTTACAGCCTTTTGTTGAAATACCATGGAACCAGTAATTGTTGCAATAAACATTTTTGCACATTTAATTTTTCTGCAAAAATATGTAACATGAAAATTACCCGTTTTGCAGTAATTTACATATTTAAATATGCAAATCAGGCACAACACATTTGGGGATTTGCAGATTTTCAGTAGCTGGATGTATGACCTGTGGAGAAGAATAGGGGATCTGGAAAAATAGGGGAGCTCAAAAAAAATTTGAATTGTTGTCCTGGTGAGAGACTCATGGTAACAGATAGACAGTTCTTGTATGGACTTGCTGCTTAGTGAGTGACCCTTTTGATGATGTTTGTGTCGTAATGGTTAGGTGAGAGTAATGAATTTGCGCTAAGACGAGACACTTGGTATTGAATTTTTGCAAACAGTGGCATGGTGTCTCATACCAATAACGCTCCTCTCGGTGGCCCAATACATTCTTGTGTGCACAGGGTTTTGAGCTGTGTTATTGATAGTGTCAAGAAGAAATGCAGTGTTATCTGCCGTGGTTCTCCTGTTTGACTTCTGTTAGCATGCAGCTATGGAAAATTGTAGTCCACTGACAAATTGCATAGCCTTGGGTCAGGGCTAGAGGAGTGCAGAAACAGTGGTGCCACATGTTTTCAGATGATGTGGCGTCCTTTTCTCCTGAAGTATGCCTTTGCCACCGACCCTGAGTAGGTAGATAGTGTTGGGAGAGCTCCAGAAGACAGCTTCTGTCTCTGGAAATGGTTTATAGAAGTCTGAACATACCCAACACTTAAGAAAAACAATTGGCAGAATTAAAATTCTGTGTTTTATGGAAGTAGATCATTGTTTTAGTTCCTCTGGGAAGGAAAAAGAATTATTGCCTGGGTCCTTTAAGGCAGTTTGAGAGCCACATAAATGTTTTCACAGTGACTTAAAACTGAATTAAAGCCAGAGCAAGAATGTTTTTGTACAGTAACGGATACTTAATGCCAGAAACTTGATTAATATTACATCTCTTCCCAAACATGATCTATGTAACAACATGAGGTTTGCATTGGAATAGCTGGCTCGGGTTCACAATGTTGGCAAGGCTCCCTTTTCTCCTAAAACCAAAACTTCTCCCTTTCACTCTTATCTTCCTTCTTTGTTTTGGATAGTTTTATGAATACGCAATCATTTGCTTTATGCGGCACAAGCTCTGCAACATGTGGCATATGTGTACATGTAAGCTCCATGCCTTTATCTTCCAGACACTGACATAAAGCAAAAGGGTTTCATACATCAGTACTCTGCTGTCGCTGCAATGGACTCCCATATTATCTCAAATATAAAGTGTATCTGGTGCAGGGATAATCTCCAGGAAGGCTTGATAGAGAAAGCTTTGCCTGTGGAGTCAGCAGTTGGCTGAACCCAGTCCTGGAATTCTGCTGCTTAAGCAGTGAAAGCCTGATTATTGTATGTAATATAAATTGGCTTCTGAATGCCTGGCTGGCTGTATCCTATAGAAAATTTGTGTGCACATTAATTTGTAGGAATACTTCAGAAAATTGGTAAAAACACCATAAATGTTTATTGCCCGCTACAGTGTCAATTCCTGTAGTAAATGCTTAGTTAATCTGTAGTAATTGAGCATATCTGTGGCTTTACTTGATGAAAATTTTTTTTAGCCTGGATTATAGCTTCACCTAGTACACTCAGAATGTTCACAGTTTGCACTGGTTTGTGTGGGGATTCTTTATCACAGTTTCAAATGAGATGCCCCAAAGTCCCTGTATGGGATCCTGGGTGAATATTGGTGGCTGGGGTCCAGGTCCCCTGATGCAGAGAGCACTGTGGTGCATCCGTGGGGATTATGCCTGCCATAAGGTTTTGCTCTGCTGCCGTAAATTATATCAGTGGTTTAAAAACCCCCAGTGCTTGCGAGTTTTAAATGTAGTGGTTCAGTTTCTTTGCGTTTGATCATCACTGCTAACCAAAAGACCCACAAGTATTCCACTCTGGGACTCTTATTGTTTCAGCTTAATAATAATAATAATTGCTTTGGAGGACGTGGCATTTTGAGAATGAGCATTCAGATAAATATGGATAAAAGGATATCCATTTATTCTATTTGAAGTGTCTGAACACTAATAATTTACTTGCACTTTTATTTGTTAGTAGTGCTCTTACCTTTAACTAGAAGCTGTCCTGGAAATAAGGAGCTGGTTAAAGTACCATAAAATAATCATAATTCAAGACTAGAAGTTTTCTGTTTTAATAATGTGACTTTTGCCACTTACGTGAATTGGGCTTTTTTTTTTTTTTTTTTTTTCTTTTCTTCCTTTCTGCTTTGTAATAAAATTATTGCTTCAAGGATGAAACTCTTATTTGATCATGAAACTACTCTTTCACAAGGAAAAAAATAACTGGGAGGAGAACATTGGGTATCGTGTGTCAGAGTTAGGATGGGAGATTGTAGCTGGGATGTACCTTGATGTGGGCTTTGTAAAGCTTAAGTTACACCTTTTCTGCTTTTCTGAATGCCTCAGAAATATCTAAGAGCTGGCAGACATGAAGGAGAATGCAATTTGCTGCATAAGAAGACACAAAAGAATGTACTAATTTATTGTTAAATCAGAATTGGTCTCAGTAATATTTAATGCAGAGTTTTTGGGGGTCTGAGTTTCCTATTGTTTTCTTTCGTTTGAGAAGTGGGTTAGTTACTCTTCAACAATGAGATTTCTTTGGGGGCTTTTCGGTCTTTCCTGGTGATTTAATCTTTTCACTGAACTGTCTTACTAGCTGTTAGGACCAGAGTTTAATCCCGTATTGTACTAAATAACTTATTGTCTAAATAACTTATGTCTACGTTTTTACTGAGATGGGAGCAAAAGTATAGTCTAGGGGATTCTCCCACCCTCCACCCCCCCTTAAATGGTTAGCTTGTGACAGTGTTTTGTAATTAATCAAGTTAACGTTTTAATACTTGTTCACGTACTATGTTTGTGAATTTTACAGAACTTACTATTGCAGAAAGGTTTTTATACCTATCTAGCTGGATATAACAATATTCTAGGTGTTGGAAGAAACACACACTGATTTTTATAGAAACTGATACCATCTACTGTTTAACTAGAGACAGCTTGACTAGGACTGTTTTGCATCTACGTCTCTCCTTTTTTATTGTGTTTTCAGGCTTTAAGCTTTTTAAGCTTTTCCTGTGAGAGTGAACATTTTTTCTCTCCCATTTCTCTCTTCTCCCTTTCAAGAATCTTACAAATTAAGACAAAAGATAATTACTCAGAGGGTAAAACTGGCAGGGTTCCCACGACACTTAAAATTAATGAGCTGTTGCATATAAAATATACCTTGTCTCATGTTCCCTCTTTTTTCCTTTTTTTTTTTTTTTTTTGGGTAAACCGTAGAAGTGCATAAAAACCATACAAGGATTTTTTGGCTTTTTGGCTGTGACTTAACGTTTCTATATGAACAGATGTATATACAGTTTGTTCCCTCTGAAGGAAAATATCACCCACAGTGATGAAATACATAATAACCAAGCTGCTATTGGTTGGTTGTGCAATGTCTTATTAAAAACAAATAGTCGTGCTTCGTGTGTTTGTAGCACCTTTCATCTGATGTAAGAATTCCTTACAAAGGAGGATAAATGTATTGTCATGAACTCCCTGAGAGGGGTTGGCAATTACCAGTTCCATCAGTGGAAATGAGACACGAAGGTTACATGACTTTCATGGAAACCACTGAGAAATCCTTAGCTGGCTGGGGCAGCGCCAGTTGCTCCTGAGCTCAGGAGTGACAGAGCCATGGAGGAATTTGCAGTGACTTCAGTGCTGATCGCTTTTCTCTCATTCTTACTCATTTATACAAGAGGGAAAGAAGAGAGGAGGAAAAGCAATCGCAATATTTGATTTTTTACATAATCTGCCTCAACACTTGTGACTGTGATAAGTGACCTGAATAACAGGTTTCTCAGTAGCTTTCTGGAGTTTTGGCTTTTGGAGGTGTGGTGGGGGAAGGTAGAAAGATGGTTGAGAAGGTTTGGAGGTAGGTAGGATTGTTGGTTGCTTATTATTAGTACTGTTGCTACTACTTTAGAGCTAGAAGACATCCATAGAGGCAGCTAAGCTTCACAATTTAGACAAAAAGAGATTTATTGTAGGTATGTCGTGCTTAGCGACAAAGAAGGCTTTCATTTCACAAGAAAATAATGTCATTTAGTTAATATTCCCAAACAGATGGTGTGTGCAATAAATATGATTTTTAGACACTTGTGCTATTCAGTATTTATGAATTTTCTTACTTGCATCCTTTCCTAAACCACAGCAAAAAAGGCAGGGGCAAATAACCAGGAGTAGAGGAGGCAGGAGGGAACTTGCCATTGTGAGTGTTGGATCACAAGCCTTGTGGACCTCTGTCAAGTGCTTCTGTGAAGAAGCACTCTGACATAAATTCACCTCATTTTTGATTAACAAACAGAGATATACAACATATTTATTTTTAACCCCAGCTTTTCATGTTTCCTGACAACGAAAGAGCAGTGGCTATTCTTAATTAATCTCCACAGAGGAATGGGAAGAAAACTTGCTGAAATAGACTTGTATATATTTGTATAATATTTATTGTACAAAAAATAGGGTTTCTATTCTGTGCTGCCTTATCCCTTCAGTTCAGCAGAAGGCTAGGGTGCTCAGCTTAGGTCGCAGCATTACTTTACATGACATGTTCCAAACCAGTTTTAGTATTTTCCTGGTTTTGCTGAAGTACCTTTTTCTATTTGCAGCTTGTCTGTCAGTTTAGTTCAGCAGTTTGGGTATTGATAAAAACAAAACATGGTTTTTCATGGAACGTTTCCTTTCTTTTATGTTAATGTAAAAATAACCCCTCTTTCTGCTTAGGTTATGTTTAGAATTCCCTCTCTGCAACAGCAAAAAGTTAATTAAAACTGTCATAAATAAAATCCAAGCTGGTAAGTCTAAATTCAGGTCAGCCAAAACAGTAATATACCTTGCATGTTTAGATTTGGATATTGAGGTTAGTGTGCATTAACAAGTAAAGGAAATACTGTAGTAAATTTGTTTATATAAAGAAATATGCAAAATAGTGCTTCTGTTTCTGTATTGATTTTACTTTAGCTACAAGAAGATACTAACTAAATATCAAACACTGACAGCAGAGAAAGCTGGGTTGTTTTGAATGAAGAGTTTTGTCTTGTATGTTTTTTTATTCTTTTTTTTTTCTTAATAGTCTGGTTTTCTCTCTTCTCAGTTTTCAATGGGTCCAGCAAATCATCGAAGGAGAAAGAACCTGCTCAGAAACACAAAAGCAAAGAGGCCACACCAGGGAAGGAGAGGAACAGCGAACATAAGGCTGAGAGCCGAAAAGATCAGGCTGCTGCTAATCACCATCCTACTACAAACACTGGCTCCTCTACGAAAGGGCTCACTGCTAACAACCACCACACTCTTCATAGATCGGCTCAGGACTTAAGGAAACAGGTAATGAATTATACCCTACTGTGGACACATGGGAAATGCAGACTTTTAAGGTGCTAGCTCCATTTTCCACTGCCTGGCATAGAGCAAACATGACAATCCTTAAAAGTATGCTCTGGAGACAGCAGGGAGTTAGTTTTCAGCGAGAGAGAGTGAAAGAAGGAATAAAAGAAGTATGATACCTACATGGGAAGTCAGTATCATAAAACATGCTTTACAAGCCTGTCTTTATATTACCCACTGTGTACGTATGAAAGAGTAAAGTTCACATCACAATTTATTAGACCTTTATAACTGGCACTCTTGCTGGCCTCTCCACTGACAGCGCCAAGGCTGGCAGCATGTAGAAAAATGAACTCCTTTTGTGTATGGCTGGTCTGCTTGGGTTATCTTAGAGCTTACTGGCTTTGTAGAGAAGCTGACATTACTCTCAGGTGTCTTGTATTGCATGTGGGCAACACAAGCCTCGGAGTCTGGAAAAAATGTTTTGCCTGATGCACAAAGAACATGCTCCAGGATATTGCCTCCTTCACAGTGGACATACTGGGTGGAGAGTAATTTAGAGTTTCATGTTACCTGGTTGAAAACCAGCAAAAAATTCAGCAAGAGGTTTGTCTCAGCCTGACTTGTACTTGGGTGTGGAAGTTGAGCAGACCAATCTTAAGTGCTTGTGACTGGCATTTGGGCAGGATGTGTCTCCATCTATTTTTGACAATTGGCTCAAAGGGCTACTAAAATAGCAGGGTCCTGTGCTAGGGCAATGCTGTATAGAAAGTTTGCTGCCTTTTTTTCTCTCTTTTTTTCTTTTTTTTTTTTCCTCCTTTCCTCTTCAGTGATTAATTCTCAACATGCCAATTAGAGCCATCTTTATCTGCTGGCATCTAAAGATTTTCTTCTAAGTAGGCTGGTCTGGACTTCAGCGGAGCTGGAACTGCCACCTTGTAGGGCTGTCAGTGCCTTAAATGGCACCTCTCAGTCATAGGCTTGGAAATGAAAAAGCAAGAGGAACAGTGATGCTTTTGCCAAGGAGTCTTTCATGCCTTGTACTTGCACTGGATTTCTATTACCTTCTAAATCAAATTTGAGATCCTGAAGGTAGTCTACAGTGTATATCTCTGTAAGACTTCCATTATTTCCTCCCACCCGTGGCCTCCCCCTGGTAATTTTTGCTTACCTAGTTATCAGCTTGAATTCCTGCCTTCTTTTGCATCCTATCAGCTTTCTTTTTTGTGACTACCAGCATCCTATGGTCCTTGCTGTGACATGCTCTGCCATGACCTCTTCATGTTGAACCGTTTTCCCAAAGCATAAGGATGCACTTCATATTTAATTATTTTAACTCACTGGAACACTTGTATGAAATGCTTTAAAGTTGTATCATCAAAGTGTGAATGGTTAAAATTATTGTGAAAGTAAACTGTTGTCACTTGTGAAGGTAGGTCTTGGAAGGGAAAAGACAGGTGTAGAAGAATTTTCTCCATGATCCAAGTGGGTTTTGCTCTGTAGAGTTAGTGTTAGATGTTTCCAGCTGTGCTGTGCAAAATGGAGAGAAATTAATTCTAAAGCAATGCAGTATGAGCAACAATCATGCCACACAGACGCCTCACAGAGTGTGGTCCTCAAGCTTCAGAAAATAAGGGGCTGTAAGCTGAAACGATGATTCTTTAAATTAAATCTATTTATTTATTTATTTATTTTAGAAGAGGTCTGGCATTTCAATTTTCTACTGCAACCCACAGGAACATAAGTACTTTCTTACCACTTTTAATAACAATATGGCTGTAACTAATTAAACGTGGATTATGCATTTTTGCCTGACAGAAAGACTTTGTGGAAAACATTAGACCTACCAGTTACGGTGGCATTGCTAAATTTCCTGCCCTTGTCCTGAGTCTTTGTTGACTTTTTTAATATTTTTCAAGAGGAGAGCTGTTTTCCTGGGGTGCCAGCCACATGTTCCTCCTACTTAACAGTATGGTTTTGCTCCTTGTTCATGTGCATTTACTTGGACATTTATTTATGTGTGTGGTTTTGTTTTGTTCAGTCTTACAGAAAATAAAGGCAGAACACTAGAAACCAAGTGAAATTCTATTTTTCTTCTCTTTCTTTCTTTCTTTCCTTTCCTAGTGTGCCCTTGCACTTTTTATGTGTTCCCTCACTCCTCCTTCCTCCCTTTCTGTCTTCCCATATTCTTTACTTCAGAGGGCTAGTGGGGAGAGGAAATGTAGTTCAATGGGGCCCTCTCTTGGTCTAATATGGTAATTTAGTTCTGTAAAACATACAAACACGGAAGTATTTTTATGAATGAATTCACGATCAGTTGCATATATGAATTCGTTTGGTACCAGAACCGTTGTTGGTATTGCTAATTTTGCTGTTATTGCTGTGGTTGTTATGTAGCAAGTTGTTTGTGGCTCTGGTTTGTGTATGTGTATGTATATGTCTGGAGGCTGGAACCTAGGTGCTGTGCAAAAGTGTGTATGCAAAGCAGTTCAAATCAACAAACAGATTTCTGCAAGGCTATGTGCTGGTCCCATTTGACTTTGAAAAGACAGCAAAATTTAAAATCTGTTGTACTGTCTTTTGCTGCAAGGCACATGTTCAGTAAATTGGAGAAGAGAGTGATTTGAAGACAAACAAATGTCAGCAAAAATGAGAAGATAGCTGAAAAGCAAAGATAAGATTATTCATATCCCTAGTTTCACCTTTAGCTCAAGACTTCGAGTTATGTAATGTTAATGTCAATCACTTTGTTACACAATGGATAAGGGAAATGATGAGAGATAGGCTATAGGCGTTGTCTAGTTAGACTTTAGTAAAGCCTTTGACACCATTTCGCACAGCATTCTCCTGGAGAAACTGGCTGCTCATAGCTTGGATGGGTGTACTCTTTGCTGGGTGAAAATCTGGCAGGATGGTTGGGCTCAAAGAGCAGTGGTGAATGGAGTGAAATCCAGTTGGTGGCCAGTCACAAGTGGTGTTCCCCAGAGCTCAATACTGGGGCCAGTTCTGTTTAATATCTTTATCAGTGATCTAGTTGAGGGGATTGACTGCAATCTCAGGAGGTTGGTGGGCAGCACCAAGCAGTGCAGAAGTGTTGATATGCTTGAGGATAGGAAGGCTCTACAGAGGGATCTGGCTGTCTTGTGCCCAGGCAGCCAAGAAGGCCAGTGGCATCCTGGCCTGTATCGGCAATAGCGTGGCCAGCAGGAGTAGGGCAGTGATCATCCCCCTGTACTTTTAGCTCTTTTAGACTTGCTCCACTGTCTGTATTTTTTCTTACAGTGTGGGCCCGGTTCTGGGTCCAGCCCTGCTTAGGAAAGCCTGTGCTCCTGTGCCTTGCTTTTGACGTTCTTAATGATAGGTCTCAAAGTGATTTACGTGGTTTGTACTGCCATTGAGTTCTGCAGCTCACTGTAGTCCTCAAGTATTATTCTTTCCCTACATGTATTTGATTTGTCCTTCCTAAAAATAGCACTTCCTCGTACTGTAGAAATGTTCTGAAATAAGTTCTGCAAGATTGCCTTTGATTTAGACCTTGCTTCCAGAGTGCTTACAGCCCCTTCCAGGTGTGTGTCACTGGTAGATTTTATGATAATCCAGGTTACTGATGGAAATACTGAGGCCAAGACAAATCCCTGCAGAAAGTCACCTGAAATGCCCTTCCAGGATGGCAATGAACTATGACGACGACAGCTTCTCTTGAGGATGACTTTATTTAGTCCTCTCTGAAGCCACTTTAGAGTAATTATGCCTGGGACATATCTCAGGAGCTTGTTAGATGCAATATCATGGGGGGCAGTGACTGGAGCCCTACCGAAGTGGAGGTGCTTCTTTACCTGCTTAGCCAGGTATCTGTCAGAAAATGATTAAATTAGCTTGATGTGCTGTTTTGGCAAGACTGTGGGTGGGGTTTTTCTTGTTTGTGTTGTTTCTATTATTATTACTATTTTTAACATGATTTTATTATTGCTTGTGTGTTTACAAATTGACTGTTTGATGATTTGTTCCAGAATGATTTTAGGGTTTGAAGTTAGGTAGACTCTGCCTGCCCTCAACTTATTTCCAGGAGCCATGCCCTAAGTCATCTAGGTCCATTTTAGCTTGCTGGGGTTGCCTTCCTAGCTCTTTCGCTGAAATTGGTTATGTTACATATCTGGTAAGTATTCAGTCAGTGGTACTTTTGATGAAAGCTAATGCAAGAGAAGACCCAACTGTTAGCCAAACTGTGGGATTTGTTTTCCTTTCTTGTGTGGTGGTTGATCTCTGCTGTTCTTTCTGGTCTTTGTATTTTTAAGGTATTTATATTTTTTTCTGTTTCATTTTATTTCCCCTACTGACTGAAGTTTCTTTAGCTCCTTGGTCTTTCTGTTTTTACCCATGCATGCTTCTGCTGTTACTATATAGTTGCCCTTAGTCACATAATTGTATTTCCACTTGTTACTGTGATTCTTTTCTAATTTTCCAGTCATTAGAGAACTTTGTGAACATATGTAATGACTGGTGCTTTGTGCCCTTCCTCTGAGTAAGAATTGCTTTGGTTTAGTTTTTTTGCAGGTGTTTTTCTGTTTTGTTTAGTTTGCCCCTTTTTTAAGTCTGTTGTCCTTCCTCTACTGTTGTCACATCTTAGAATTGAAAACTCATTTCGTGATCACTGTCACCCAGATTACCTTCCCCTTCCAGTTCTCAATCAATTCTTCTCTTATTAGTCTAGATGAATTCTGTAATGTTCCTGGCTATTTATGAAGCCAGAGATGTTCAGTGCTTGTTCTGACTGCTGCAGGCCAGAGGCAATGTCTCAGCAGCTTTCTACCTGTGTCCACTCTGCAGCATGAATAAGTGCTGTAAATGTCAAATCCAGGCCCCCATTTCAAATGCAGACTACTGCCTAAATTTCAAGGGAAATCGGTAAATGCATTTCTGTTAGCAAGTGTTTGCTTTCCAGATGATATCTTCTATGTCATTGGAAAGCTCAAGATAAAATTCGTTTCATCAGTTAACTGGATTTTCCTTAAGTGTTTCTACCTTGGAAGCACAGGAAGGGCAAGAATATGGATGGGTTTTAAAAGGGCATTACACCTGCTCCAGCTTCTGGAGCACAGAGGAGAAAATTCACACAGTAAATACACGTGTACACATAAGTGTGTGTGTGTATGCAGAATCCTCAAGTTCCATTTCCTCTTTAATGCAAGATCATACCATGATCTTTTCAGTCTCTATTTGATCCCTATTTTATAACATTTTATCCCTACTTTACAAGTGACTACAATTCTTCCATTTATTTGAGAGAAACTGCCATGCTTTCTAATTTGGCAAGGCTTTTGAAATCCCACAGGGAAGTATTATAACTTTGCAGGAGTGGTGTCATTCACCCAAGTGCAGGTGAGGGGGTGATTGTACTGTATGCTTTCACACTTTGAGCACTTTTGTCAATGTTCCTGATTTTTGGATGTGTTTTTCTTCACTCACTGTAGTTTAAGGAGGTGAGAAGACAATGTTTAAACTTGTTTAAATGTTGAAATTTGTTTGAGGTTTAAACTTGAACTTACTTTTCTTAGTAGTGGGGCTCAGCTTTGACAGTGTTGAGCTGTCACAATCCCTTCAAAGCTGAGGGTTGCTTTCAGTGCTTAACATGTCTCATAGTTAAAATAGAAATTTTAGATTCATAGCTCTATTTCAATGTCTAATAGAAAGCAGTGGAGTCCAGCAATTCTGTGTTGCAATGGCACATCAGTGAGTGGTGAATAATAGCTAATAAAATGTATGTCAGCAAAACTGCCCAGATACCAAACTTTAAAAACATGCATTGAAGTACTGTATACATTTTTATTTCAAATTAATGTCTTTGGCAACAAGATGCCTCCCAAGATTTCATATATATCACAGACTGCATCCTGTCCTAATCTGTTGGGTGCATAATGTGTTCGATATCTCTTTTTGTATATATGTATGTATAGACAGGAGGTTGTTTTGAATCTCAGTATGTGTTTTATGCAAAACATGCACATTCCACTTAGAGTAGATAGTATATGCTGGCTAGTTTGCCTGCAAAGTAGTAGTAAACTGTGTGTGCACTTTAAGGGAAGTTGGATAGGAGAGAGATAGTGTCTAAGGGCCAGAAAAAAGAGATAATGAAAGCATTAGATTGTAAATTAGACTACTGGTGTTTTGTGATACTGTAACAGGCTTTCTGGTAGACAAGAAAGGGGATAGTGCAAGCAGGGGACCTCACCCTTTGTAATACTGAAGGCTTCGACCCCTCCAAAAGCAATATTGGCTTTCTGGGGACTTTTCTGGTTTTTGTTTGGTTTAAAAAAACCCAAACAAACAACAATAGTTCTATTTTGTTTGTTTATTACAAATGCCCCGTCCTTCCTGGGTGAAAACCGTTATATGAAGATTGTACGAAGTGGCCAGGAGTCAGGACTGCAGGATATGGTCATGCGGTCACAGGGATGCCATGGCTGAATGGTAACATTATTAATTTACTTTTCTATTTTCTGTTTCCTTCCTTCTGCTCCCCCTGCAACACTCCTGGCATTGCAGGTTTCTAAAGTCAACGGGATCACTCGAATGTCATCTCCGAGTGCAAATGCAGCCAGTGCCAAAAAGATGAGAGAAGTCAGACCTTCACCGTCCAAAACTGTGAAGTACACTGCAACAGTGACAAAGGGAACTGTCACATACACCAAAGCCAAGAAAGAACTGGTCAAGGAAACCAAACTAAATCACCACAAACCCAGTTCACCTGTCAACCACACAATCTCAGGGAAAATAGAAAGTAGCAATGCAAAAACCCGCAAACAGGTGCTATCCCTTGGAGCATCCAAGTCTAACAATACCGCTGTTAATGGTGTAAAAGTCAATGGCAAGTTGAACCAAAAGACATGCACTAAGGAGGTGGGGAGACAGTTAAGGGAGGGGCTGCGCAATTCGAAGAGGAGGCTGGAAGAGACGAATCACATAGATAAAATACAGTCGCCCACCAAGAGAATGAAAGGGGCCGTCAACTTGGCAGAAGCTGCCAGCAAAAAGGCAGCCGTAGAAAAGCCTTTGCTGAATGGACACCTTAAAAAGGAAGTGCCAGAGAAGAGTTTGGAAAGAAATAGGCCGAAAAGAGCCACTGCTGGAAAGGGTGCGCCAGGGAAACAAGCACAGGGCAAAACTGAAAATGCCTCCTGTGAAAATCGTTCTACCTCTCAAGCGGAGTCCTTGCACAAGCCACAAGACTCAATGGGAAAGCACGAAAAGGGCAGTAGTAAGTCTGGGTGGGGGATGCTGGGGGAGATTCCCATCCTTAGACCCTCCACCAAGGAATTTCATGACCCACTGATATACATTGAGTCAGTCCGAGCTCAGGTAGAGAAGTATGGGATGTGCAGGGTGATTCCTCCTCCAGACTGGAGACCTGAGTGCAAGCTAAATGATGAAATGCGGTTTGTGACACAGATTCAGCACATACACAAGCTAGGCAGGCGCTGGGGACCCAACGTGCAGCGGCTGGCCTGTATCAAGAAGCACCTCAAATCTCAGGGCATTACCATGGACGAACTCCCACTCATAGGTAAGGGCTGTGGTTGCATTGGCCTTTTGCCGCTGCTTGTTAGTGTGCATATACAACTTCATGCTCCGTTTGCCTTTATGCTTAACCAAACCCCTGTTCAATTAACACTGCAGAGCTCTGGATCTCTCTATTTATCCACCGGTCAGGAATGATGCAGGTAGGTTGTTGGAGAGCTTTCCAGGGAGACTTCGTATTGCCGCTTTCCTCCTGCCAGCTCTTTATTTCACCCAGGGAAAAAAAGTGTTATGTGGGCTCTTGGTCACCAGGTTTCAGGATCTTCCCTTTTCCCTGCTGTTTGTTTTTGTAGTAGTACAACTATGGATATTGATAGCCTCGGTTTAAATGTTGCCTCAGAATATTTTTCAGACCTTTCCAAAGATGTTTTCCAAATGCAGGTTGCACTAGTGCCAAGCTTTAATGCATTCCCTGCCCCCACCCCCCTTCCTCTTCCTTCAAAAGCATTTAACCAAGGGGGAAAGAAAATACCTCGGAACTGACTTCTGTTTGGGTACTCAGACACTTAAAATCACAAATTTGCAGTGACCTGCTGACATTTAACAACCATTAAGTGTCAAGAATAGGCAGTAAAATGTGGTTGATTGCAAAATGGAGGTTTCATTATTTCTCCCAGCAGGTGTCTGCCAGGGCTAATGCCTGAGTGAGAATCACTTATTTAACAGAATTCTTGGTTTATGGTCTGCTGTCAAATATGACACGTGATAAAAATGTGACAATAGTTTGTAAAAACATGACAACAGCAGCATACAAATGAACTACTGAATGAGCCACCTCCTTTGCAGCTCTACTGCCTTTGCAGCCATCACAGAGTAACAAACTTGTGGTTTTAATTGTTGTTAGCCCTTCCCTTTGTTTTTTGAAGTGTTTTGAGTCAGAGCTCACTGGACCTGCATGTTGCAGCTTGAGGCTGGAGTTCTGCCTTTGAGGCATTATCCGATCACAGGCAGCTATCAACACTAGCTGGATTAAAGTACACACTTTTCTGTTTAAACTGTTCACAACACTTCCCCCCCCGCCTCCAGTTTTCAAACTTTATTTTATATCACATATGGTAAGTGAATGAAAATGCATAAAAGCGCACAAAGAGATTGCAGAGTTTATGGTGAACTGATGCAGGGCACAACAGGGAAATGACAGAATTTAAGGAGGAGGAACGAGGGTTAGCACTCTGTTGCAACAGCCGTGTAAAACGTTCAAGGAAATCTGAAAATTAAAATCACTCAAGCAGCAATAAGTGAACATTTTGTATGCCTAATGTATGCAATGGTTGTATGCTAATAGAGAAGAATAATGAATTACATTTACATTGGCAAGAGAGAGAAAATGTGCAAGACAGCTCGATTAACGTTCCTAGAACAATGTTAACTTTTTAATGAAATACCTTAACTTGGCATTAAGATGGCATTTACTGTTAATTATTTGTATTATTTAAGCACCTAAGAGCCTAATTAATAGGTAAGGATTCTATTCTGCTGGGTGCCATATAACCAGATCATACTATGGTCTCTTATAAGATGTACATCCTATGTATCCTTTCTGGAGTTCGTTTCCTACCTATCTTGTATTTTAAATTAAAATGGAGAAAAGAAGCTGGAGATCACCAAAGACGAGAAATCTGTTGGTTCCAGCAAGAAAGATAAAATAATCTGTGGTGATAAATGCACACTTAATTTAAGTAGACATGTGTACATATCCCTCCTTTCATGGCCAAATCACATTTTCATTGAAGTAAGTGGGAGTTTTGCCAACGACTTGTGTAGTGCCAGAGTTTGATATTAAATGCAAGATCTAAGATTTTTTTTTTTTTAAATGAGCTTGCTCACTAGGCTAGTTTAAAATATTCCTAACCTTGTGAAATTAAGACAATTAAAAAAAACCCAAACCAAACACAAAAAACCCCAGAAAACCAAAACCAAAGATGCTGTTTCTGCACACCATGTGTCAGGTCTCCTATTTATAAGCCATTTCGCTGTAGGCATTTATAAATGGGGTTAAAACTCCTTTTTTTTTCTTTTTTGCCTTTCCCTTCAGCCTTTCGAGAAAAGTTTAAGCAACATGTTTAGGTCAGTCCTGGAAAACATCAGCCTGAGATATAAATGCTTCCAAAAGTTATGACTGTGTGAAATGGAATTGTAATTGAGACCATTTTGTAAACCATAGCTGTAGCTGGCCCTATGGAGGATCTGCTAGATATGCAAGGTTCTGTTTGAATGATGTGCTGGTCGAGCTCTAATATTGTGGAGTGATTATGAGCAATCATTTCCTCAATGCAGGAGAAAATCACATTTCTTATGTAGCTCATAAACAGTGTTGAATCTAGGACCTTAAGATGGGTGTGCACTATTTGTCCCACTGGAGAACATGTATAACGTTAAACCTGGCCCACACTTGTTTTGAAGTTAGGAGTATGTTATTCAACTTTATGTAGGTCGCTGAATCTGTTGAGATGAAAAGTCGTCTTGAATTATGCCTTCAGCTTATTTGTGAACTGTGTGTATAAAATAATAGACCAGAAAAGTAACAGCCTGTAATAGAGGCCAGCTTGAAAGTTATTTTCTGGGTAAGACTGAAAAGGAAAGAAAGAAAACCTTTCAAACTTGGGTTGCTTTTTCTTTAGTTTTCACATGGTGTTCCCTTTTCTCAGCTTCAAGACTTAACCATTTGGATAAACACCAACCTCATCCCCCAAATTATTAAATTTAATATATCTGCTGCCTCATAGCCCTTGACTCCACCCTTGTCATATGCCCCTCAAAGCTGTACCCTTGGATTCTTTCGCCTCTTTTCACACTTTTGTCCAGCACTGTGAGGCAGCATTAGTGAGCAGCCTCCGGTACTGCTTTGCCCCGGACACAACTGTTGTCATCCCAAAATCTTGCATGCAGGTTTACACTGGTGAGCCTCCCTCTTCACTGGGTTGGCACAAGTGGTGGAAGAGGCGAAAGCAGAGGGGCAAAGGAAAATTGGGATCAGCTGTGAAGCATCTGAAATGCAGCATAGGGTAGTTTGAAGAAAGTAATGCAGCTTACACTAGCAAGCAAGATGCTATAGCATCCTTTAAATGCTGTAGCTGTGCATCTGACAGTAAATGTTTACCGTAACTCTGCTTCTTGCACTTCTCTGTTGTATGATAGCATTTCTAAGTGCTCTGAAACAGCTATGGCATAATGATTTTTTACTTTTCTCAAAGAAAAAAGGGAAGTAGAGACAATGTGGTGGCAGCAACACTGGAGCAAGTTTTGTATTAATTCCTTTTCCTCCAGCAGCGTCCTGTTGATACATATGTGGTCTTTGGTCCATTTCTTCACTCTTTCTACTGATGATTTATTTCTGTTCTGTGAGAATATTTATGATGTTTCTTTTATTGTTCCTCGTCCATTTGGCTGCTTTTTATGCTGCAGTTTGTATAATCCTCCATTTTTATTTTTTGACTGGAGTTTGGAATGTGCTTGTCATCTTAAAACATAGAAAAACATAATGGACTATAAAATATGGATGGCCTCAAACTGGAAGAATAATGTGTCTGGAAGTTTTCAATGCAGTTGCAGGCACCAACCCCAAACGACTCCCTAGGCTTTTTTTTAAGGATTTTTCTACCTCTAGTGAAATTAATGATATTACTGTGCTCCTTTTAAATATTAAGTGTATTCAAGGTGTGGTGCAAACATTAGATAATCGATGTTTCATCTCCAGAAAGGATGGGTACTTTTCTTTTTGATTGACAGTACCCATCCTGACACTTGATTTGCTTTTCCCTGGTGTAAACCAGACATGGGACTGGTGGCAGTCGAGGGGAGGGTGAGAGAGTAAGAACTGTTAAAGAGCTGGGCAACTCTCATCTCTCTGGCCACTGGGTAGTGACCAGATGAGTGTCAGGAGATATTTGGGGGGGCTCTGAGAGGAGAAGGGAATAAAACTTGAGGAGGAGAGCTAATTTAACCATTGTGAATAGCAAAATAGGGACAATCCTGCTCTGGTGCCCAGGTGGCTGGAGCTGAAAGAGTGGCATGTCCCGTATATGCCTGGTAGCGCACTTGATGCGAGCTGCCTGCAGCTTTCCTAACCTGCTCCTGTGTTTCCCTTTCCCCTCCTCTGCTGCCTGGCACATGTGTATCCCAGGAGGCTGTGAGCTCGACCTGGCCTGCTTTGTCCAGCTGATCAACGAGATGGGGGGGATGCAGCAAGTGACTGACCTCAAGAAATGGAACAAGCTGGCAGACATGCTGCGCATCCCCAAAACTGCACAGGACAGGCTGGCCAAGCTGCAAGAAGCCTACTGCCAGTACTTGCTCTCCTACGACTCCCTCTCCCCTGAGGAGCACAAGAAACTGGAGAAGGAGGTCTTGCTGGAAAAAGAAATCTTGGAGAAGAGGAAAGGACCTTTGGAGGGACATTTGGAGAATGCCTACAAGTTCCATTCCTTGCCCCGGTTTGAGCCCAAAAACGGACTCATCAATGGTGTGGTTCACAAAAATGGCTTCCGCAACAAGTTAAAAGAGGTCGACGTGCCACTGAAGACGGGCAGGCGGCGGCTCTTCGCTCAGGAAAAGGAGACCACGAAGGAAGACGAGGAGGAGGAGGAGGAGGGAGTACTTAGCGACTTACACAAGTGTATATACAAGGTAACAAGGCAGGCTCTGCCCATTTTGTTTTGCAGAACTGGGGATGCTGTCATCTGGGTGGCACCCAGGTGCAGACCCAGCCAGCTGGGGGGAGCTGATGGGCTGCAGTGCCACCCCTGAGGCAGCAGCACAGCCAGCAGTTATCATAGCTGGGCAGTCTGGTGGCTTTATCCTGATCTGCCTGGCTCCTATGGGATGTCTGGAAAAGCTGGAAGGTGTTACTGTCATCACAACATGCACTGGGCTCTGCCCCCCTTCATCTCCTTTTGAGAGGCTCCCTGAATAGCTCTGCCCAATTATCCTTGCAGACAGTGTTTATTTTCATTTTCTAGTGACATTTAAAGTAGTGTTCTGCTTTCTCATTCCTGC